ACCAAATTTGATGGATTACAAAATCCAATTCTTGTAAATCATCTAGAAGAGATACGAGAACATGAATTAAAAGAATTACTTGAACACAATAGGAATGTATTTTCTCAGCATGCTATTGATTTGGGAAAAGTAGCTATACAACATAAGATCATCACGAAAAGTGAACAACCAATTTCTCTTAGACCCTATCGTCGTCCTCTAAAAGAGTATGAAGAGATAGCTGAACAAGTTAAAGAACTTCTCGAACACAAGTTAATAAGAACTTCAGATTCTCCTTGGGCATTTCCTGTTGTTATGGTTCCCAAGAAGGATGGAAATAAAAGGATGTGCATTGATTACAGAGGTCTTAATGAGATCACACTGGATGACAGGCAACCCCTACCTCATATACAGGACATGTTTGATCGATTGCATGGATCCAGATTCTTCTCTACCCTTGATGTTGCATGGGGTTATTGGCAGTCGAAATGGACCCGCAATCTATTAAAAAAACTGCATTCGTCACAAACGATGGTCATTATGAGTTTTTAGTGATGCCCTTTGGTTTAAAAAATGCTGCTTCAACGTTTCAAAGGATAATCCAACATATTCTAGGTGAATTAATATGGAAAGGAACTTGCTCTTTCCAAGATGACATATTGGTGTACACGAAAACATGGCAAGAGCACATAGAGCTTCTTAGTAAAGTTTTTGACAAATTAAGACGGTACAACATGAAATTAAAATTGTCGAAATGTATTTTTGGAAGAACTGAAGTAAAATACCTCGGACATATCATCAGTCACAATCAATTAAAACCTGATCCAGGAAAAGTAAAATCTATTCAAGACTTTCCAAGACCTGATACTGTAAAGAAAGTTCGTCAGTTCATGGGATTGGCAAATTATTACAGAAAATTTGTGAAGGACTTTTCTAAAATTTCATTCCCCTTGGTTCGACTCACTCGGAAGAATCAGCCCTTCATCTGGAATGAGGAAGTAGAGGAGTCGTTCGCTAAACTTAAAATGGCACTATCTACAAAACCTGTCCTTGCTATTTACAACCCGGACTACCCCTCTAAAGTTTATACAGATGCCTCCAAATATGGAATTGGAGCAATCCTAACACAAATTGGTCCAGACAATGAGGAACATGTAGTTGCTTATTACTCCAAAACACTGCAACCACACCAAGAGAATTATTCTGCTTATGAGATGGAATGCCTAGCCGTAATACAAGCAACTGATCACTTTCATGTATACATAGAAAACCAACCATTTGAAATCATCACTGATCATGCGGCGCTCCAATGGCTTTTCACCATGTAGAAACCGAAACCTAAGTATTTTAGATAGATTCTTAGTTTATCCTCGAAATCATGTAACATCGTTCATCGTTCTGGAAAGCAACAAACTCATGTTGACGCCTTATCAAGACTCCCAGTTGTTAACATTGCAACTCAAGAACTTCAAGAACACCAACAAAATTCAGATTTGAATTTCTTGAAAAATTCCCACACTCACGACGGTGTGGTAATGATCAAACAAAAAGGAGTTTTTAAAGCAGTTGTCCCAAACTCGCTTACCAAAAAAATATTGGAAGAATATCACGATTCATTGAGTCACCCATCAATAACCAAAACATGCAAACTTATAACTCAATGTTATTGGTGGAAAGGAATAACAACTGATATCAAGAATTATGTTCGATCTTGTGAATCTTGTCAACTAGTGAAGGTCAGACATGAACCAACTTTAGGAGAAATGATCACTCCAACGTCAAATATCCAACCATTACAAATGATCGGTTGTGACACTATTGTACTGGGAACAGCAGCAGCTAACACAAAGCATAAATTCATTCAAGTTTTTGTTGATCACGCAACTCGTTATCTATGGGCATATCCCACAATAACAAACACTGCTCAAGCTGTCACTCAATGTCTTGATAAAAGATAATCAAATCTGTTAATTCGATCAATACTATCTTAACAGATAATGGCAAAAACTTTATATCAAAAGAGTTCAACAAATTTCTTTCTTTACAAGGAATTAAACACACATATACTTCGCCTTATCATCCTCAGTGCAATGGCATTTGTGAGAAATTAAATGATACGATAATGACAAAACTGAGAATAGCTGTTCTGGAGAAACCTAGATGTAAATGTTGCTCATTGTTACCGCGAGTTGTCAAAAATTATAATTCCACACCACATGACGTGACTGGTTTTTCACCGCTTTTCTTAATGTATGGAATCGGTAATGTACCCGAATTTGCCGACCAAACTCCAATTACAATTGAAGAAGCCAGGAAGAAAGCTAGCCTGCGGACAGAACAAATAAGAAGTAAGTGGAAGATTAAACACGATAGCCATCACCCCAAGTATGTCTTTAAAGTAGGAGACTTAGTCATAAGAAAAATTGCCTTCAACGACCCTCGTCTCATCAAGACATCACCAAAATATGAAGGACCATTTGTCATTCAAAAACAATGGTTGCCTGTAAAGTCGGTTTTACGGGCGACGATTTTACGTGACAACGGTAGAATATTTATTGATATGAATATAATTAAATTGCACAATAGGAACAAGGAATTGAATGAAAATAAGAATTGCACAAATTTTAACTATAGAAATATATTTTGTTTACTAAAACATTGTACATGTAAACTTAAACTTAACTAATTCCTATTTGAGTGATTTTGTTGAGGATAGGACGATGATAGGAGAAATATGAAATGAAAGGAAGTGTTTCTGCTGTAATGTGTCTTGCGAAAGTCAAGTCGATAGTTGTTCCTTTTAACGTAGTTGACTTAGAAACGTTTGATACGCAATCAAGATTATACGTATTTTTCATGAAATTAAGAAACGAGTTGTCAGGCTTTACGTTTTTGTTAAAATCACCACACAGAAGAATCGGTATACTAGAATCAACTTGCACGAACGGTGGCACGTACTGGCTGTTGTGAATGTACGGACAGAGTCCTTGCCATAGTAACATTCCAATATCCTGCATACTAGCTCCTGGATGAATATATACAGCACCGAGTATAAACTTGAAGCTAGTATTAGCGGCGAAGCAAGTAACTTCAGTCATGCACATGTCACCCTTGGTTTTAATGACACGAGTTACGTCTGTAATCGCAACTTGGAACACTTCCGCCGTAGATGTCGATGATAATTTACGATAGATCGCCACTCCACCAGCCGCGTTGGTATTTGAAAATCAAAACACTTATTCAGATCGAAGGTTCAAATTTTTGCTAAATAAATTTGAAATTAAATAAAATTTGTAATTGTAAATGATGAAGTTGAAAATTAAAACATTTACTTAAATTAGATGTTAAAATTCTTGCTCAACACAGTTTAAATAAAGTTTTCTTATATCTGCCACTTTTTCTTAATATTTGTAATTTTAAAGAATCAATTCGAAAATCAAAACATTTATTCAGATCGAAGGTTCAAATTTTTGCTAAATAAATTTGAAACTATTCAAAATTTGTAAATTAATAATTAATTAATTAATTAATTTTAAACTAATAATTTACTTAACACTATCAACATTTATCAATAGTATGACCTAACCTATAAATTCAGTTTCTCAACTTTTGTGTCAATCTAACAATTAATCAATCAATCATAGTTTACGATAATGAAATATCAGTGTACAATTATTTACCTTTATTGTTGTAGTTGTTGTAAATGACGAATCTAAGCACTCCACATTTTCACTACAGACACAGCTGACGATACTTTAACCACACGTGTGAACTTGTATTATGACGCTTTCTTGTTTTTCCAACGCCAAGAACGTTCGAGAAAGACAGAGACAAGCATGCGCCGATTCAATGCGCCTAATTCTCGTTCGGTGACTCATCGTAACGTTACCGGGCGTTACACTTTTTCATAAGTGACTCCCAGCCGCAACCTAATTTAAGACGTTGTCACGTCAAAAAATATATCTGATGTAACCTACGATATCTCTCTGAAAGACCAAAAGCAAGCAAGACGCGTTCACATATCTCAACTTCGACCATTTATTACCCGAGAATAAATGCTTCAAGAAGGGGAATATGAGACGTTACAGAAACAATTTTCAATTGTACATAAATTCCTTTAAAATGTTACTTTAATTTTTCATATGTTTATTTTCAATTTCTTTTTCTCATTCATTAAAAGTCAATGATGTACATGCAAAATTAGTAAAAACTCAATAAAAACGATATGTAAAAATATACATAAACAAATGGCTTGTAAAAGAAAGCGGCAATAAATGAGTTTAAGCAAAATGTCTATTTCATTAACAAACATTTCACTTTTAAAATAATAAACTTTAAAAATAAAGTTTTATTAAACTAAAATTAGCGTTTTAAAAAATAAAAACGTGGCAATATATATATATATATATATATATTATGAACATGTATTATAAAATCACCATTTGTATTTTGGTACACCATGTGACTTCACTGCTCTCTTTGATGTGAGAAATAAATAAATGATTCTGGAGGCTACTTAAAAATATCTCATTATTCCCTTATATAAATTTATAGGATGGTTGAAACACGCTCTGGTAAGATGCAAGACCCGGCACAGGAGAGAATCAAGGCTGAAGAGTCTGCCAAATCAAGAAAAGCCATCCACGAACGCGTTTCGCGCTGTTGGCGCTCGTCAGCGTGGAGCAGACTGTACCACTGCGACCAAAAATATTTTTGATCCATTTATAATTAATCAAGAAAATATGTTGGCCAAATACCAGGGAACAGGTTAAATCAACGTTCAGTTGATTTCTGCTCCACTAGATGGCGTTCTGCCATCTAAAAAGCACATGTACTCCTGGTCAGGATATGCCTACTTTGTTTTTAATATCAACACCTGATCTCTTTATTATTTATTTTTTTCTATTGATTTTTCATTAATATATGCAGTTATCAGCGTCATAATCAAGCAACAATTCTTAATTCTGTTACCGTTTGCTTTGTGAATGGAATAAATACCCAAATATGGCCATTTCTCATAACCATCGGTGGTTCAGTGATAGAATGCTCGCCTGCCACGCGGGCGACCCAGGTTCGATTCCCGGCCGATGTGCATTTTTTTTTACAATTTTCAAAACTTATTTATCTATATTAATAAAATGGAAATTTCATAAGTGGACATCACTAAAAACTTTCGTTACAATGCATCAATTTCAACCAAATTTTCAACATTTATTTAAAACGAGATGGAGCAGGTTTTGCTTAACATCAAAATATATTTCCTAACATTAACATGCGTAACTTCGCTGTTATCGATTAAATACAAAAAAAAATCAACAGAGTTAATTTTATTTATATATAAATACAAAATTAAATTTCAACAGAGTTAATTTTTTTACATACTAGCTAATAATCTCAATCTAAAAAATATTCAAAACAAGCAATTTTAAGATAACACCATATGTAAAACAGTCGGCCAAGAAAACAACAACGATATTACATCTTTCTCACATATTCACACACAATCTTGATTAATAATTAAAACTAATCTTTAACATTGTTTATTATACTTCAACTTTTATTTCTACATTTGTTTTTAAATACCCAATTGTTTTATCATGTTTCTAATTTCGCCTAACAAATTACAAATTTATAGTGACCAACATATGCAAATTTTATCTTTGTTTTTATTTAACTTGATATCGTAAACATAACATCCATTGTAAGCATTTTTCTGTTCACCTTCCGTGGTTTCTCTTTTCTCTGATAGTTTTTAGGTGTAGTATATTTTCTTATTACTAGACTACAAACATTCCCTCGAGAAAAACCTGGGCGAAGCCGGGTACATCCGCTAGTATATTATACAAGAATGACATCCACGGCGCCAATTTATAATTGTAACGAATAGTATTTGAATAAAAGCATTTAATCGGGTAAAACACGGGCGTTGCCCGGGTCATTCGGCTAGTATATATATATATACTAGCCGAATGACCCGGGCAACGCCCGTGTTTTACCCGACTGTAGATGTTACAACGGTGATCCTTAGGTCGCTGGTTCAAATCCGGCTCGAGGGAGCCGGCGAGCACGTGACCTCCCTGTGCGCGCGCATCCGTGACAGAGGCCGATGAGGAAAGACGGTCGTGACTATATATAGGGATATTGTAGCAAAAAGTATTTATTATTTTATTAACAGATTAATTTTTTTTTTATTTTGATGTTCATATATTTTATCACTCTGAGTAAACTTCCCTCAATGCTTCTCTTGTATTTTAGTTTGTGCTTCAAACAAATTGCTGTGTCAACCTGAAGTTTGTCTTTCCTAATTTTTTACGTTCCAATATTATCATATTTTATATTATTTTTTTAAAAGAGAAAACGTTCGAATTTACATATACGGGAAATACACCGTTATATAAGCAAATATGAAGTGGTTTATAATTGAAACATGAAATTTCCTTAAGTTTTCTCCATAAGTTTATAAACGTTTAAAATGCCATTAAAACAGATTCTTAAAGTTTTTGATATAATATTTTATGATAAACATTTTCAGGTTTTATGACAATATTATTTTAGGATTTAAAACCTTTTGTTGTGAAACCCAATTTTTTATTATTATCTCAAATATAATCGCTATTAAAAAGTTTAAAATACTTATATTTTACATTCAAATGTTTTTATTAAACTTTAAAATACAGTACAAGTGTAAATATATTTGATATCAATAAAAAAGAATGCCCTTATTTAAATATAAAATGTCTGCTTTTAGAATTCAAAACGCTCTTAATAGACTCATTTAAATGAGAAATTATTTCTTTCAGTTATTTTAAATATTATATTATATAATTATTCATAATATTTATTTTCAGTTACAGTTCCAAATAACTTTATTAGGTGCCGCTCAAAAAGAGCAACCTAGATCATCATATTTACTGTGGGGGATGGTTATGTAAAGGGGTTCATTTACAATTATAATTTATAATGATGTCGTTGGGTCCGGATTCTCAGGTCCTTGGGGATATTGTTCTTGAGGTTTATTCTGGCTTGCTTGATATTCAAGGTGGGTTTGTTTTTCCTTTTTTTCACTTTTCGTCATTCTGGCTTAATTGATAGATAATTTGTCTAGGTTTTAAATTTCTTATTTTCCTTTTTCCGCATTTGTAGTTTGTGGCTTCTTTGAAGGTGGGGGTTTCTATTTTTTCGGATTTTTCGTAGAATTTAAATAATTGTGTAATAATGTAGTCATTGGTGTTTTCGATATTTAGATCGTTCCTGAGGATTGTGTTCCGAACGAACCAGGGTGGAGACATGATTTTTCTGATCATTTTATTTTTTAAAAGACTTCTAACTTTTTAAGGATGGTCTTATGTGCTGTCATAAAAGGGGGTGGCCGTATATGGGTATTGGTCTTATTATTGACGTGTAAATGGTTCTTTTGCAGTGAAGGGATAATTTGCTTTCCGGTCCTAGAAATAGGCAAAGTCGTTGTTGGGCAACTTTCGCCAAATTGATTCTATTTTCAATATATATATATATTTTTTTTTAAGGTTAGGTGCTCGTCTAGGGTCATCCCTAGGTATCGGATATTCTCTTTACATTTATTATTGTCTTCGAAGACGAAGAGTTCGTCCAAAGGTTTCTTAATTTTGTCTTTTTTTCTGGAGAAAATTATTGCTTCACTTTTTTGGGGGTTCATTGTAACTCGCCATTTTTTTACACCAAATCGTGGAAAAGATACAGGCCTCTTGGAGTTTCATGTGGAGATTGTCGAAGGTGTATGTCGAGGCCAAAATGGCGGTATCATTTGCAAATAGGTGTAAAGAGGTGTCTTCAATACTAGGGGAAGTCGTCTATATATATGTCGAATAAGGTTGGTCCTGTGACTGATCCTTGAAGGACCCCGGCAAGGATGTTCCTAGCTGTTGAAAGTTCGTCTTTGACTCGTACCTTGAATGTTATATTCGTTAAAAAGTTTTGCGTTATTTTTATGATGTCTCCAGGAAGGTGCTTCTTGCACATTTTGTAGAGAAGGGCCTCATGCCAGACTTTGTCGAACGCTTTGGCGATATCGAAGAACACGGCTCCTGTTATTTGGCCTAGATCCATGGCTTTTCTTATTTATTTCAGTGACAACAACGAGCTGGTGCAATGTTGAGTGCTTGGCTTGGTAGCCAAATTGTTCAGGTCTGAGTGGATTCTTTTCTTCGGGGAATTTCTGAGTCTTAAAACAATTCTTTCGAATAGTTTTGAGATGGCAGGTAGCAGTGAGATGGGCCTGTAGCTTGTTGGTTCTTGCATGGATTTCCCTTTTTTAAGTATGGGAAAGAGAAAGGAAGTTTTCCATCTGTCAGGGAAGTGGGCAAGCTGCAGAGATGCGTTAAAGATTTCGGTTATTGATGCTAGTATGTGATTGGGAGCAGTTTGAGAGCTTCATTAGGCAATTCGTCGATTCCGGGAGCTTTTTTTGTTTTTGGTAGATATTCAATAATCTCTTTAATTTCACCAATGTTTGTTGGTTCTAGTCCTGTTTCTTTGTTTTTTTTTTTTTTCATATATGAATTCACACATTTGATGTATGTACGAGTAGGTTTGGAGTGGGATGTATAGTGATTGGGGGTGAACTGTTTTTCATAGTTGTTGGCAAATGATTCAGCTGCTGGTTAGTGTTTGCCCATTGTTTGTCTTCAATGTTATTTCTTGTTTTTCAGAGTTGAATAATCGTTTGATGGCTTTCCATATGGTTTGGTCCGTGACTTTCAAGTTTTCGATAAAGTAATCTCAGCTAGTGTTATTGTGCTCTCTTGTAATATATATGTGATAATATATATATATATATATATATATATATATATATATATATGTGATAAGATCCTGTCGACTTTTTATGTGGCAATATAGTGATAATGTGGGGAAAGAGAAATAATTACACCACAATTTGGTAGAGGAATTCCAGACAACCAGCGAGAGAGATAGGGGGGCCAGCCACCGCTGCGCGGCCGGCCGTTCGTGTCGCACACAATCACCCAACTGTCTTAATTAGTCCTGAGGTTCTACGAAATGGGCCCCTTGGCATGTGGCCAGTGGCCCAGATGACCGTACTTTAGCTGCGTTCTCTCTCTCTGGTCGACTGTAGGTTTACTTTATTATTCCTGGAAGAGCATATATTATGACATATGTATATAAAATGACCTGTATGTGGGAGTATATGGAAAGAAAGATAAAATAGCCGGGTCAAAAAATTTTCTTGGTCACCGGATATCCAGCCTTCAATCCCTTCCCTCTGGGATAGTTTATCTTACTCGAAGCGGTTTAAAAGCGGCTGAAAATGATGATCAGGGAACAGTTCGCACCGAGGTGGTTTCGACACCAATAGTTCCCAGGGTAGTCCTCAGACCTTCTCTCTTTCCTCCCCGATCTACTCCTCACAGGTGTTTGCTTCTGGATCCTGTGTGCCTTCTTGCCACTTTTCACATAAATACCACGACTGCTTCACCAATCACCGCATATATATTTTCATGATTAAAATGAAAAATGAGGGAGGTTTTAATAATGAATTTTAAACTTTAAAGTGAATTACGTGAAAGTTAATTAAAAATTCTGAGTATAATTGAACACACCCCATTTATCTCTATCTAATATCTTAATTAAAATTTATTCATATAGCTACTTTTCATCTGAAATTATTTAAACCTTGGATTGGTTTCAGGCCTATTTTTTTGTAGAAACCTTTTATTGCTACAATCCTCCCAACATCAAGTTAAATGATAGAAACTCTATCATCATTTAGGAAAAGTGTTTCTTTCATCATTGTAATTATAGGGAAAAACGTGCCATCTGTATTATAAAAAGTCCATTAAGTACTAATGTTTAGTGATTTTAATAGTTTTATTTTCTATATATAGATGGCGCGTTTTTTTCTTATAATTGATTTATGCCTAACTGGTTTTGTATTTATTTGTTTGCGATAGAGCATTGTTCGATACATATATTTTTATGTAATTCTACTGCCCTGAAGAATGTTGGACGATAAGGCAAGTAAAGGTATGTGAGATAGCTGAGGCCGTAGGAATATTCGAAGAAAGGGTGCGGATTATATTGCAGAAGAATTAGAGA